ATTATAAAACAAGCTATGTGCTGAGGAAGAACATTATTACCAGTACAGAGTAATTAAAAACAGAACATAAAATACAATTAGTGTTTTCTATAACAAACTTCCCTTGTACAGCTTCAATAAGAAGTCCTTCAGTGTCAAAATTTTATCTTTGTGTGGTTCAAATTTAGTTGAAAAGAAATCATATTATCACATGGCTTAGAGGTTTAATGACACGATCATAGATGTAATGGCTCAATCATTAAATTAATTGAGTAATTAAATAATCATTAGTTGCAGTCCTAGGGCCAGGAAGTACATAATTGGTGCTATTAATTGACAAGGGCTACAGACAATTTTGTTGAATAAAATATATGCTCTTTGGAAGAGGAAGAATTCAGGTTTGGGAGGAAAACTATTCTTGGCACTAGCAGTTTAGTCATAGTGTTTGTTCATAATCCTTATTCTATAAAACAATTACATTTTAGAACATACAATATATTTGGTTACATATTTACCATCCATCCGTTTGCGTCAACCTTTTCAAAGCTACTGGTCATTATTTATAATTAATAAATTGTGCAGTTCAGTTCACAATTTTGGTCTCATCATTTTTGATTTACTTAATTGAATAATATTGCTGTCATTGCGGCTCTGTTTTACAGCTCCAGACCTATTGTGCTTGTGTTTGCTATTATAATGTATGACACCTGTGGATCATTATCTTATAATAAAAGAATCAAGTCTGTATTCCACATCAGAAAACTGCAGTGCCCAATGAGCACTCAAAATCACACCAGTGAGCAATTCATTTGTACCAAAATCACTACGTATGTGATGCTGCCTAATCCCATGTGTATCACCCATTAAGAAAATAAAAAAGAGCAGAACAGTGGCCGTATATCGGTAGTGGTGAAAGCAGGTATTGATCAGCAAAATGGGATCTTGAAAATAAGTGTAATGTGAGGGGAAACAACCAGAACATAGTTAAAAGCTCTGAAAAGTCGATTTTGCATAATAGGTCCACTTTAAGAAATGTAACTTGCCAGCACTTCATCCCTTTTTGTCCAGTCCAAGTGTAAACACATGGAAAAGATCATTTTCACCACGTGTGCACAATCTTTGTCTCGCGGGATCCGGTCCCATCCTTTATAGTAAAACATGTTTTCTAGTAGTAGCGCATTTATATTTTAAGCAGTTAAGCCATTTCATTAGTTTCAATCATTCCGTGTAAAAAACTGTGATTATTTTCTTATTTACTGCCTTTAACCTGTTTAGGGCAGCTGTAGATAAATGTCTTTTGTGTGGGCTTGTGTTCTCCTTACTGCTCTTTTCCATGACAGGCCTCAGAGGTGGAGCTTCCCTTCAGTCCAGTCACATCATGTAAGCCACAGCCACTCAGCCAAAACACGCCCTCCTCCTCCTTCATGACTTCATTTTCCACTGTCTGTCTGTGTGGCTCTGCTGACACAAAACACATTTCAGTTTACACATTCACTTTTAACTAGTTATTTCCATGCTCGAGTGAAAGTGCATTATTTTACTACTTAATAATAAGAGAGACTAATTCAGAGTTTAATATGTGAAAGTAATGGTAACACGAGGCACATGGGAATCATTATTTTCTTTGTGAAGCCTTGACAAGAGCGATCATCAGCGGTGGAAAGTACTTACAAACGAATTATATACTCGTGTTAGTGTAATTGAGTAGATCTTTGTATAATTGTACTTTTTGGAGGGGGTTTATAAACATGTACTTGTGATGTAATATCGTTTCAGCACAAGCCCCAATTGTTCCAGTAGCTGTATCTGCTCTTCTCCTCATCTGAATGGCCAGAGCTAGTAGTATGAGCAGTATTTCGATTTCGAAGTTAGATTTTAGCAGCAGTACTTTTACATTTATAGCCTTGTAACTAGTTTATTTTTTAAATTACCGGTATTAGTTTTTTTTTTTTTTTGCGATATTGGAGACCTCTCCTCTCCTTTCATTACCCCTTTGTTCTTTTGTGAATTATTTATTATTTACATATTTTTGTATATAACTGTATTATTAAAAAGATGTAATGTGCTTGTATCTGCTTACATCTATGATAGGGTTACCATATTTCCGTTTGTGAAAACCTGGACACCTTACGGGGCTGGGGGCTGGGGCCTCGACATTGAGCTACTCTCACCTCGCAACTTGTGCACATGGCCTCCCACTTGTCCCGACCGGGATGGAAAATGGAGAATTTCTTGTCCAAGTCATTGTTAAATGCTCATTTGCACTTCGGCATGTTGCAAACTGACCAACTGTTTGTGTCTGCTCGCTCCTGCTGAGTTACAGAGAGCTACGAGAGACGCTCAATTTAATGGCCCCAATGAACGGTAATGAAAACCTGGACATTTCCATCAATTAAAAAAGAAAAAACGGGACGCCCAAGACAGGACACAAAAAATGGACATGTCCGGGGACGTTTGGTCACCCTAATCTCTGAGCTATTCTGTTACAATTTGGACATTTTAAATCACAATATTGATCTAAAACAACTATGAATAACACCAAATATTGTTATTTAATACTGAGAAGGTAACTATGACATGGTTAAAATCTCTAAAAAGTCAATTTTGCATAATAGCTCTAAACTTTCACTTGAGTTGTTCTCCATCACTGGTAATCATTATGGTCATATTTCACGGTCTGGGATTAATCACACATTTCTTCAACTTGTTTACACCAAAACACAGTTGAGGCTTGAGGTTATGGAGTTCTTATGGCTTTTTACCAGTTCCAACAGAGTTTTACCCACTCAAACTGTGGCACATGCATTCCTTTGCAACTTTAGCAGTTTTGTCCTCCGCTGGTTTAGTCACGTTCAGTTATAAACCTGGGTTAGATCAACTCAGGAGGCCAACAATTTTTCTTGGTGGTATTTGGTGTGACAAGTTTGAAAGCCTCACCGCTAAGAGTTTGTACACATCGTTTGTCTTCCAAGATAGATGACATGTGTTAGGCTTTATATTTGTTATTTTCTCTATTTGATATTCCAGTCAACCCTATGTGTACCAGGCTAAATCCCCATAGGTGAAACTTGAATATTTGTTGTGTGCGGGAGAAGTGCGGGGTGCAGACAGATGATGAGCCCCCGTCCCCCAGAGTGTTCATTAGAGCGGCTCTTTGAAGCTCTTTGAACTGAGCTGTCATCTGAGACACAGAAGACACAGGAGACCCTAACAGAGTCTCCGCAGCACAGAGCCTGCACTTTACAGCGGCCCCAAGCAGGTGGACACAGGAAGTCTGCAAATTACACACAGACAGGACTCTGCATGTTTGACTAAAAGGTGCCATTGTCTAATTAAAATACGACAGTCTATTGTCAAAGCCGAATATACTGTACTTGATTAGGCTACATTATTAACCTTCTACTTTGAGCTGCACATGTAGGCTGGATGTAAAAACAGCCATTAAAAAAACAAGACAAAAGGGAGATGGACTGAATCAGGACTAAACAAGGAGTAAACCACATGTCAAACCTTGACTCAAAACCAAGGTTTGACATGTGCAAAACATTTTATAAACCAGGAGTGTCCAAACTGGCCCTCAGACTAATTTTTGTTGATCCACAAGTCAAATTAAGCAATAACTACAATAATAACCTCTATAACATCACTATGCATAGTGAAACAGTCCTGCTCTTGCTCTAAGCCTTATTCAAGGTATGGTGGCGCTGACAAGATTGTGTTAAATGCATCCATCTGAATAATCCATGGTACTGACCACTGATCTGTGGCCCTCTGTTTCAAAGATATTTCTATATGCTGCCCTCAGTGAAAAAATAAAAGTTTGGTGTCTGGTGTCAGTATAGAACACAGAAAAGCACAGCCTGGATTGCAGGGTCTACATCAGACCTGGGCATTGTCTCCAGCTACAGGGCCACATACAGCTCTTTGGTTTACTCTGATCGCCTCATTTAAGCCCATTTGGAATTACAAAATAAACATATTTAATCATTTTACCTCATGCATGGACTAAAGCTGCAAATGTTTAAGTTTTTTTTTTTTTTTTTTTTAATAGAAATACAAATAGTATTATGCAGAATTGAGTTAAGCATTTTGGTCTGGCCCTCCACAATATTTTTTGTTTCTCATGTGGCCACACAGAAAAAAGAATTGCCCAACACCGGTCTACATGCTACTAACTGGCCCCATGATTGATGTGCCGTGACAAACATGGCCTCTTTCAGTTTTACACACGTACTTGCTGAAATAATTTATCATTTTGGAGTGTCCTGAGCAAATATCTGACACTAGAAAAACATGCAATAAACAAATACAAACAAACAAACAAACTGAAAGAAGCGGTCTGGATACTATTTACAATTTTAAAATGGTGTTATTTAGTAATTAATTATGTGCTTTTTTTAGCATTTAAGTGTAGGCCCGGGTCTACAGGGGCGTAAAAGAGGGCATCACAACCTTATTTTTAAAATGCTTGCCCCCTCATTTTTGGGAGGTTAAGTATTGACCCCTTTGAAATGCATATCCACCTTCAGTCAGTCAGTCTCGTTTGCACCTCCTGCTGAGTGTGTTATGACTCAAGAAAGGTGAAAAATCACTGCTCTAAACTACAGAAAGTCCAAATATTGAAGCTCTTATGTGCCTATTTATTTACACCACAGCAGGCTAATACAAGTTGCACTCTTGGGGTTAGTCTGTCAGCACATGTCGGTTTATTATTGCATATTTTTGTGTTCACAGTAGCCAAGCTTTATAAGGTGGTGCCGGTGGTACCTTCCAGCTGCAGTCCAGCAACTGAACAGCCCGAGCAGTGCACAAGTGTCTATAATTCTAATTACCCCCTGCTTCTGGAGCGTTGACACCGGGCTCTGGACAGCCTGCTCCGTCTGTGCCTCTGCTCAATGGAGCTCTTAGTGACGGAGAGAGAGCTCAGAGCTGTAACCCGAGAAGAGGAGGCAGCCGCGGCGTTATTATTAGCCAAAACTCCAGCGCGCCACTCGACTCTTCCAGATGTTCCGACGCAGGCACCGAGAGAGGACTAGCCCACTCTGTTTGGACGCCGAGGGGCTGTTTCAATTTTTTTCACCTTGAGGATGCTTCGTTGGCGCTACTAAACGGAAAACAAAAGGATTAAACACAACATTTGTACATTTTCCTCGCTGTTATAGCAGAGCCTCACCTTGAGCAAATTGGCAAAGTTTTGTTTCGAGTGAGTGGCGCGTGCTGTATTTAAAAACTTTCTGAAATGTCACTCCGCCACGCTGGAATAAAATAGTGCGTTTGGGTGTTAAAAACGGAAACGACGCGACTGTTTTAAAGCAGCTACACGTGTTTTGCGTTTAAAGAGGACGAGGGGACACCATGGCGTTTTTTCACTTGCTGTTCTGCGTGGGAATGTTGTCGCTGCCCATGTGCGGAGCGTTCTACCGCGGTCCTCTGCAGCCGGAGATGTCCAACGGCACGTTTCATCACTACTTCGTGCCCGACGGCGACTACGAGGAGAACGATGACCCGGAGAAATGTCAAATGCTTTTCAAAATGACGGACGATCGGAAATGCGGACTAGACGAGGACCAGGACTCGGTGATACGGGACGACTTCACCATCATCAAGCGGCAGATAGAGGACTCGGCTCGGGTGATAGAGGGGATAGGGAAGAGCATCTCCTTCGACCTGGACGGAGAGGACAGCTATGGCAAGTAGAGTAGGGTGACCAGAAGTCCCTATATCCCCAGTTTTGACCCATGTGCCCACTGATTTGTACAAAACCAGTGATTTGTCCCAGTTTAATGCAGGAAATGTCCCATGTGTCCCTATTTATGACCAATCTGATATAAACCAGGATTAAACTAAGGGTCCTAAACCAGGTCTACATCAGGTCTAAACTAGGACTGTGACCATTCTTGACTAATCTGACCCCTGCCAAAGGTAAAGAGGAGCATAAATTGTCATTTGTTTAGCCAAAATGCAGAAAACTGTGTGAATGACCATAAAGCAAAAAAATATATATATATATATATAGCAACAGAAGTCCCTCAGATTATGACTGACAAGAGAATGTACAATGTTACACTCTTTTCACAGTTTTATTCATGCCAAACATACAAACACGGGTGTATCTCAGTTTTGTATTTTGAAAATCTAGTCACCCTAAATTAGAGCCAATGACATGTGGAAGTTTCAGGGTACCCAGTACACACAGCATATAAAAAAATGAATAAATTGATTAATGAACAAACCATATCCCTATGCTACAACCCTCCCTATAAATTCCTTTTTTGTAGCAACAGAAACCCCTTAAACAGGACAAAGAATGCCCATCATATTTGAGCACATTTTACACCTAGTTTAGTCCAAGTTAAATCCTGATGTATGGTGTATTAGTCGACCAAGATGGAGCTCAGCCATAGACTGTTTATATAAATGGACACAGCTAACCCGCCATTGACTCTGACTCCATTGAAAAAATATTCCTCCTCTCTCCATAACTGCCACTGTCAGGCACATCATTTTGGTCTTAAAAATTCATATTAACCTGCACTGCATGATCCTGGTGTTTTTATTTACCTATTTTGTCTGTAAATTAAGTCCTATTCCATGTACAGAACTCAGCTCCAAATTCACTTCTTTAACTACAAGCCTCGGTGAGCTTCATTTGACTGGAGCTGAACGCTATGGATGACATCACGCATCACATGCCTTAGTCCGCTTCTTTACACAAAGCACAAAGAATTCCAGCCGTGTGTGCACATTTTACTCCTAGTTTAGACCGAGTTAAATCCTGTACTGTGATTTGGTCTAGACTTAGAATGCATTTTGATCAGTAGGCTAGTTCATACATAATTTCTTTCTTTGTTTTTTAATTTATTTAGTTAGGTAGTATCTGCACACGTATTCTCAAAGGACTTGTGCATCCTTAGAGCATTTCCATCAAGGCCTTATCTCTAGATCTTCAACCTGGATCTTGGTCTAGAACACACTCAGACAGAGGAAGACGCATGCTATACTATAACTCTACATAGAACACATACCGTGGTCTGGGAATTGAACCTTCAGCCTTCTTGTTGTGAAGGGAGACTGTTCAACAAAGTGTAATTCTAGTTTCTACAAAGTAATATAGTTTATTTTATTATTGTCATTGTTCTCCTGCACACGGCATGAAGTAATTAGTCATAATTACTTAATTTAAAATAATACACTATTTTAATTGATTCTGACTTGGCTTAACATTTGTATTTGGCAGTAGTGAATAGAGCTGTGCTCAAAATACCAATGTCAGACTTCTTGGCAATATGCAGGGTATCGAAATGAGATCCTATAAATTGTGGAGTTGCATTGAGGCTGAATCTGGAGCCTATGCATCTGTATTCATATATTTTGACATTAAGGACCTTGTCATCATGAAATTCCAATGTAGTTTGTTATTCTAAATAATCAAAATATCAATAAAGTGCATTTTTAAGAGGATATGCTTGAATTTGCGATACATATTTTATTGTGAGTTACTTTTATATCCAGCTCTAGTAGTGACCCAGCAGCTTCTTGGGTTGTTCCACAGCTTTTTTGTATACTTTTTCTAATATTATTTTAGCTAATGCATCTTCTAAGGGTGTTTTATACACTGACAACAAAGCAAGCAGATTTTACTAATGCAGTTTTTTTGACATTCAGTGCAGAGCTCTATACCTATTGTTCAGACCTAGAGTATTCCATTCTTAGTTTGTCCATAGATTGCTTGTTTAGACCCTTTTAACCTTCTGAAATCTGATCATCCTATAGGCAAGTACCTGCGGCGGGAGACCACGCAGATCACTGAGGCCTTCACCAGCTCGGAGAAGTCGCTGCTGGAGCTGGAGGTGAAGTTCAAGCAGAGTCAGGAGGGGGAGCTGAAGGAGGAGCAGCGGCTGAGTGAGGACTTCCTGCAGATGGTGGTGCACACACGGGATGTCCTCAAGGAGACACTGGACATCTCCCTGGGCCTGAGGGACAAACACGAGCTGCTCTCCCTCATCATCCGCAGCCACGGCACCAGGCTCAGCCGCCTCAAAAATGACTACATCAAGTTTTGAAAAGAGACGGTAATGCTGGTGTTATTATGGAATTTAAAGGTGCGTTGTGTAACTTTTCTGGTGTAGGGTCCACCACTTGATTGTCTCTATTAGGGCTGTAGTCGTTTAGTTGATTAAGACTGTATATGGACATAGCTAACCTGCTGGTTGCCATATTCAAAATAGGAAGTAAGCATGGGCCTGCTTCTGGGCCCATCAACTCTGGCTCCAATTCACTTTCAATTTTCAATTCACTCCCCAGAACTGCTGTTGTCAGGCTCGTTATTTTGGTCTTAAATTGTTCATATTAACCTGCACGACATGAACCTGGTGTTTTTATTTCGCTATTTTGTCTGTAAATCAATTCCTATTCCTTGTATGGAGCTCCTCCCAAATGAACCTGTATAACTGCAATCCTCGTTGAGCTTCATTTGACTGGAGCCGAATGCTATGGATGACAGCGCGCTCCTTTAATCCACTTTTTTATACGTCTTTGAGCTCAACAGTGCCGGGAAGTAAATTTCTGTTTAATCTTTTCCATAGATTTTTGAAAAAAATATGAAAAGTTTGAAAGCTTGCTCAGGGCTAATGAGCTATGTGATAACTAATGACCACAATACCTATAGTTTAATGTAAAATCTGTCTCTCAAACTTTATAAACATCTAAGTTATTAAAACACGTCATGGAATCTTGTGTTTTAAATGTGCTTCTTGGACTTTAAACAACCGTGATATGGATATTAGTCACTTTATAAGGATTTATATGAGACAAAAGCAGAAAGAAGAAGATATTTGGTGACTTAGCTGAAGATTTGGTATGCAGATTAAACTCAGGCTTCACAAGTTTAGTCTGTCTTTATATAAAAACCTTTTTCCTAGATCTGCATAAATAGCAGTTTTTGCGTAAACTGTGCAGGTTTAGTCTTGTGTGTCCAGTTTGGGTCTGATGCATAGAGATAATTCATAGTTGGGTTGTTTTTGCCATACACCTCCAGTTGACCAACAATAAGACTAGAGCCCTAGTTGCAGCAGCTGTTTAGGCACAGAAGACGATTTTAGTTGTCTTTTCCGCAAGGGATATTTATTTTTAAGCCACAAATAACCACACAGGCTTACAACAGCTCCCCTGCTCTTAACCCGCCGCGGTGGATCTGAAGTCATGTTCAAAGCACAAAATAGACTAAACAAAGCCGGGTATTCAGATGCACCTCTTAAATAACAATGTTCAAAAGTTACATGGGATAAAAGACACCAATAAAACAAAGGGGGTTGTCTAAGAACCACAAAACAATAACAGTCATGTCTGAAGCTATTAACAGACATTAGTAATGAATCATATATCTTGAATCCACAAAAGATTCCAACATCAATTATTTCATTATGGATGCTTTTATTGCTCAAAATAGCTTGACAAATATGCATTCTCGCTGTGAGTGGGGTAGATAACAATACTGTTTCCATGGAGACAAAGCAGGCGGTGAACCCTCTACCAGAAAAGTGACACTGTGCACCTTTAAAGCAAAAGTAGGAAACGTTCAGGGAATTAATGCACATGACTATATTCTCATTAACATTAACGTACTTTATTTAAGGGTGCGTTCACACTTGCACACACCTCACATCAAAATGGAGCTGACAAGTTTGGACAAGGACTTAACCAGGACTAGAACAGGACCAAACCAAGTCTACATCAAACCAGGACATGCATAAACTCACCGTGAACGCAATAGTACAGCAAAATCTACTTTTACTTTACTACAATTTGGTACATGCAGCAGCAGTTTGTACTTTGCTATATATGAATCAGTACTTGATTCACTGTACCTAACCCTCATTTTGGGAGCTTTAAAAACATTTTTTTGTGATCAGAATCTGTGTGAAATACAATTTCACTTTTAATTTTTATTTAAAGAGGGGGCATTGTGCAAAATCTTTTTTTTATTTTTTAGCTTTGTACCATGTTATAATGTTGTTCCCTCATCAAAAAATGCCTGAAAAAGTTTTTGATACCATCTATGCATAGAATGAGGTTCTTTTGGTCTTTCGATAATTTATGTCATCAGGTTCTTTTATCAGACCAAAAGTTTGTTTTTATACCTGACAGTTTCGACTGCTCACTATTGCTCTTCCTCAGAGTGGTCACGTGATGTTGTGATGTGTCCGCACGACTGGTTTATACAAGTTTTGGCGCTGTCTTCCTACCGGTGGAGGCAGGACGACAGCGCCATCTGCAGTCCGACTTCCTCAGAGGACAGAGGAAAACAAACACCATCGCTGGATTAAAGAGGCAATTGAAATACGTAAACGTTTCCACGTGACTATGAACTGGGATGAGGGGGCTTTTTTACTCTCACACACCTGGGATCCTGAGGAAGTTAGACTGCAGATGGCGCAGTAGGAAGACAGCACCAAAACCTGTATAAATCATCCTTACCAGACACGTCACAGCAACATCACGTGAGGAAGCAGTCTGAGGAAGACCGTTAGCGAGCAGTGGAAACTGTCAGGTATGAAAACAAACTCTTGGTCTGAAAAAAGAACCTAATAACATAAACCATCCATGCATGTTTGAGTATTTTAGTAATCTCTCCCAGGCCCTATTCAAACTCTTCTTACAGTTAGCTGTAAGATTCTAGTCACTGCTCCACCCACGAGCCTACATCACCCATGTCCCCACACGACAAATCTCCATAAATATACAAAAACATGATACAAACAAGATGACACAAGCAACTTAACAAACTTGATGTGATGTGCAGCAGTTCCATTATCAGAATGCCCGCTGATTGTGTTGGGACATTGTTCTGAAGGGGGCGTGACTTGGCGTGGGGAGCAAAGGGAAAGAAGTGAAACTCATAAAATATTTTAATATGTCGTTTATGCTTTGTCGAATATAGCATTTTCAAAGCAGTAAAAGGTAACATGAAGATCCAAATATGTTTTTTTAGAAGTTAATACCCCATAGAAGTAAAACACCCTCTCTTTAACATTCAAAAAGCACAAATGCTCAGAAATATTAGGTGCTAAATGAGTCATAATGGAGAAAGAGAATATTTTAAATATAGGCGTTTTAAAGACTGATCACTCACAAGTAGGACACTTTTACTTGAGTTGACTTTTCACATTGTCAAATAGACCTAATGCATCAATATTACATTCTTAAATAGAATTTCAGCTCCATTTCGATGCAAATTACCTTCCTCATTGTGACAAGATCAGTCTTCACTCTGCTGAGGGCACACGTTAGGGCTGTATGATTTTGTAACATTTAACTTGTGATTTTTTTGATTATTATAATCTATTGCATTGACATTTGCGATACATTTTTTTCAAATCAAGATTCAGTTCGCGATGGAAATTTAATAATAGCTGCAGAATTATTTCAGTTCTGGTGTTTTTCATACTATCATTCACTATTTGTTTACGATATAATAATAATACTGCAATAATAATAATAATATTTCACTCCTAGCAGACATCATTTTGAAAATAATTTGCCTGTACAACATAGATTACAAAAAGTTCAGCGCTATCAGCTATTGTATTATCCCCATTTAGAGTCCTTTGTGTCAGAGTTCTGGTATTCAGTTGCTTCAAACACAGGACAACCTTAATGCATGGATATTTCTTCAATTTAGTAGAAATGTGTGCTAAGTGAAGTGAGTCCTAAACTGTACTGCGGTGAATGGAGACAGATGTTTCATGTTTGGATAATTGACAAAAGTAGGGGTGACGTTCTTCTCTGGAAACTTTAAACATTTGGTTTGGCTCTTCAGGCCAAACTCCGCATCTGTGATGTAAGACAGTAACATGATTTATCAGACCATCACACAAAATGGAAAAGTATTCATGTACAATGGTTATTCAACAGTGGGAAAATATGAATCCATCAATGTTTAGTTTTCTTTTATCTTTTCACAAACTTGATTTTGTTTTAAAGACAATATGTTGGGAGATGTTGTTACTGTGTTTACCTTGTTGACATGTTTCACCTGCTCATTACAAGGGATCTAACTGTTTCTGAAGAAGGTTCGAATATGGCTGAAAGATTAATTGCATTCAGAGTACAGGTGGAAAATATGGTGATTTTAAAAAATATATATTTTTTATTTTTTTCCATATTTTAAGTCACTGCCATTCAGCACGAACTTAAGACAAATTTCTTCCTTGACATACTGAACTCTGCTCTCCATATATTTTTACTGACAGAGGATTTGCTGTAGACCTCTCCACTGAGAAGACCCAAGCTGATTATTGAATTATTATAGAGATAGGCTGATATATTGGTTGGCCGATACATTGGGCCAATATTATTATTTTAATCATTTGATATTATTTGCATAGCGTGTCATCTTTATATTTCTAGCACAGGCCAATATTTTGCTTCAGCCAACCAATTGCCTAAAAAAATAATAAAGTTTTATTTGAGCACTTTTGTTTGAAGAGAGCACTGCACGAAATGTGACTTCACTGCTCTCCCATCCACTTTGTAGTAAAACAAGACTGTGGATGAGTTTATACTAAATTCAGAATGTAATAATTGGGCCAAAATATCGGCCCTAAAATATTGGCAATTTATTGTCTGTTTCTATCAAATCTAAACAATCAGTATCGGCATTGGTTATGAAAAACCCATATCAGTCGATCTCTATTCTAAATCAGAGTCAAAATTGAATGTCCCTGTGTCTTCTGTGTCTAAGTTATTCTGTCTAAAACCTGCTAGTCCTGTAGTTTAGACCTCGACAAACATCCATGAAAAGCATTTGATTCTTCTGTTAATTTAACTGTGTTTTTTCTATTGTTATTATTCCTGGGCTTGATCAAATTGGACATTGTGAACTGAATCTTGATTGAAGTCTATTCTTTGTGTAAATGTGTAGATACAAACAGCTTATTGCAAGCTTGAGTTGTATTCAGAGCAGGCAGACTTTGCACAGCCCCCGTTCCACTAAAGCTTTGGACATATTTACTATAATATTTGTTACATCTTAATAATTATTACGTATCTGTGGTGTACAGTG